GGAATCAGCAGAGATGTGTTGATTGATTCAGGTTCTGCAAGTAACCTCATTAGTAAAGATACACTGCAGGAACTTAAGTATCAGGGGCTCAAGATTGAATTAAAACCTTGTCTGAAGAGATTGTATGCTTATGGGGGTCGAGAACTTAAAATTGAGGGCCAGTTTCAGACAGAAGTTTCCGTACCCAAAGCAAAGGTTGTGGCAGATTTCATTGTTGTTGAATCCGGGCGTTGTTTGCTGGGATATTCGTCCGCCACAGATCTTGGAATCCTTCGTGTGGATCTCTCGGGAACTCTTGGGACAGGAGACTGTAACACTGTTGATGGTACCTTCGTGGGAGGACTCAAAGCAAAATACCCCAGTGTATTCCAGGGAATTGGAAAGCTTAAAGATTATCAGTTGAAGCTACACATTGACCCCAGTGTAACTCCAGTCGTTCAAAAAATGCGACGAGTACCTTTTTCTGTAAAGGACAAAGTAACTGCCAAGGTTAACGAACTCCTTGAAAAGGACATAATTGAGAAAGTCGAGGGGCCGACGGTGTGGGTAAGCCCAGTCGTTGTTGCTCCTAAACCGTCCGGAGACATAAGGTTGTGTGTCGACATGCGGAGAGCCAACGAGGCCATTATTCGGGAAAGATTGCCCATACCAACCATAGATGAAGTCCTTGAAAGTCTTAATGGGAGTGGTGTTTTCTCGAAGTTAGATTTAAGGTGGGGTTTTCACCAAATTGAGCTGGATCCTGATTCAAGGGATATCACTGCTTTTACCACCCATGATGGTATATTCCGCTACAAACGTTTGAGTTTCGGTGTAAATGCCGCACCAGAGAAGTACCAGCATATCATCACCCAGTCAATGGCAGGTCTACAAGGGGTGTCAAACATAGCAGATGATCTTATCGTTCATGGTCGAGACACTGAAGAACATGATAAGAACTTACACAGTGTGTTGCAACGTCTTAGTGAGAAGCAGCTGACTTTGAATGCTAAAAATTGCTCCTTCCGAATGACTAAAGTGGTATTCATGAGTCTTTTGCTTAGCAAGCATGGTATCGGCCCAACGAAGGAAAAGGTCAGAGCCGTTGCAGAGGCAAGTCAGCCTCAGACACCTTGAGAAGTCCGTAGCTTCTTAGGGCTCATTGGATACAGTGCCAGGTTTATACCTGATTTTGCTACCACTGCTGATCCCCTCAGAAAACTTGCTAGAAAAGGGGAACCTTTCGTGTGGTGCAATGGGTAGGAGGAGTCATTTCAGAGATTAAAGAGTCAAGTTGCAAGTCCACCAGTCCTAGCTTACTTCGATAAGGACACACCCACCCGTGTTATTGCTGATGCAAGTCCTGTTGGACTTGGCGCCGTGCTGGTGCAAGAAAAAGATGGGGAAAGCCGTGCCGTCTGTTATGCTAGTCGTAGTTTGAGTCAAGTGGAGCGTCGTTATAGTCAGCAGAAAAGGAAGCACTAGCCTTAGTCTGGGCCTGTGAACGCTTCCACCTCTACTTGTACGGGCTTCCACAGTTTGATCTAGTGACAGACCATGAAGCACTTAAAGACATCTACTTAAGGAATTCTAAACTCTCAGCCAGAATAGAGCGCTGGGTTCTGCGTTTACAACCGTACAACTATCAACTTTGCTATGTGCCTTCAAGAAAAAGCATTGCAGATGCCCTCTCCCGACTGACAAAGATACATACTTCAGACAAGTCCGTGGAAGATGATGGATATGTACGCATGATAGCTCTACAGGCTGTCCCTACTGCATTGAGAATCAAATAGATTGAACAAGTCTCAGCACAAGACCCTGAGCTGCAAGCACTCAGGAATTGCCTCATCGAAGGGAAATGGGACAATGCCCCAAAGCAGTATTTGCCAGTGCGCAATGAGTTGACTTTTATTGGGCATGTAATTGTCCGGGGGACAAGAATTGTTATACCTCAAGCACTTCGCAAGAGAGTCGTCCGTTTGGCACACGAGGGGCACCAAGGAGTCATAAAGACAAAGGAGAGACTTAGAACAAAGGTCTGGTGGCCTGCTATGGATCGTGGTGCCGAGAAAAGATGTGAATGTTACGGGTGCCTGATGGTAACCGAGAACGTTCCACCCCCACCATTGAAATCAACACCATTAGCCAACCAACCATGGGAAGAAGCAGCTGTGGATCTAATGGGTCCGTTACCTTCTGGAGAACATTTGTTAGTTCTCATTGATTATTGCCGTGCGTGGATAGAAGTTGATTTTATCCGAACAACTTCCAGCAAAACCATCATTCATTGCTTGGAGGCCCAATTTGCAAGACATGGGTTGCCTAAAGGTCTGCGTACAGACAATGGCTCAAATCTTGAATCTAAAGAAGTAGAAGATTACCTGAATGAAGAGGGGATCGACACCGTTACTCAAAAGCTCTCCCTGGCCAAAAGCTAATGATGAGGTAGAGAGGCAGAACACTTTCTTTGTAACGCGTGTGATGTTACCAGTGAACTGTATATGGAAAAATTCAGGGCTGGAAACTTCAACCGCGGTACCCAATACCAACCGTCGCCACTCGAAGGCCGATAAACTCCACAAAAGTCGATCGATCTCCGTCAAATTTCCACCGGCGAGAGCGCTTAGCTATTTCCTACCCCTTACAGCGGGAAAAGTTTCCAAATTCCACTGCATCAATCCGAGAAACGCTCCGTTTTACCACCCATTCTCGCTTAATCGCTTTGTAGGTACGTGTAATCCCTTTGTCCTTACTACGGAATTCAAATACCGAAGTGAACCCGGTCGAATTTATACGTACGACTCACCAGACGGTGTTGTTTGACAGTAGGGCGAAGGTAACAACTGCTATAGATTCCCTAGAGAGTCTTTATTTGTTCAGATGCTTTTATTTTGGGGACTTCTACCTCTGGTAATTCTAAAACTTTGCCTAGCTGTTCTTCTCGGAGGGCCTTTTCGAAAACTTTAAGCTTGGCGTCCGCCATCGCGACCTTTTTGTCTGCTCGTAAGATCGCTATTTCCCTTTCAAACTGCGCCATTTCCTGTTGCCGAATTCTCTGCTCTTCTGCTTCGCACTTCTTGCGCTCACGTTCTTTTTTCTGCC